CGGCGAACGTTCCGTTCTGGTCGAAGCGAGCCGGCAATACTAGGCGGCCGTGTGTCACCGAGATCCGCCAGTTTCCGCGTGGACTTCGCCGCAACGGGTAGGCCTCGATCCGCGCGCGTCCTCTTTGCACGCGTGGCCTGATACACACACGATCGCGTCGTGTCGCGTCGCCTCGCTTTGTGCACAAGTGCGTCTGGCGGAAAAATGCGGTCTCCCAGTGTCCCCGTGTGCTTCGTTCACGTTCTACTGTGCGCCCTGGGTGAGTAAGAATCTTCGTCTTCCGCGCGTGTACCATGGGACACATCGTACGTTTGCGATACGACAATGTGGATACAAAGGATTTACAGTCGGCGATAAAAATAAGTGCGAGTAACAGTGCAATAGAAATGGTATCAACGAAGCTTCGTTAAACACGGCTGGTTTACACGAAGATGTGAATATCGATTTCGATTATTTGTTAGCTTAACTTTGTGCTTCCAGGCTTTGTAATAAATAAAACTTGAGTATACGACGCTAATCGTAGAGTTGGATTATGTTTCGTTGATACCTACTTTCGGTATTTGTCTCTTTATTTTTGTCGCCTACTGTATATCTAAAGGAAATACGAAGAAGCAAAGTTCTCGAGGCAGAAAAGTATCGGTGGATGTTGATTGTCCGTTAAACGAGGTGTACGTCGTTCAGCGAGCGATGAGGTGGTTCTTGAGATAGCAGTCTTCAAGGAGGAATTATGGTTTGATAGATGCAAGATTTTGGAGTTAGATAGGAATGGTACCGATGAGGAAGCTGTGAATGTTTAGGTGTTTATAGGATACGGAATGCAAAAAGTAGAGTAGTCCTCGTAATATAAGATTGTAACGTGGATTTGTCCTGTTTTTGTGTTTATTACATAAATGGATAATTTTACTTACTCCGTTACTTAATCGTATTTTATTTAGATTAATGTAATTTTTCTACTCTAAACCGTATACTACTGTAAAATTAGATTTTTCTGTTCTGTTTATTTCCATACGAGTGAATACATTTTTTACAAAGTTCATCCACAAGATACGCAGTCATCGTTACCAAGAAAACTGTTTTGTTCGTTAGTTAAAGCGAATATCACGGTCTGTAGAAACAGCTAATCTATCGTTGTTCGTCTCTTGAAATCACAGCATTAACTATGCGTCTTATTTTTTACGTCTAACATTCGAATCCTTTGACGAAGCTCGCACTTGTCTTGGATATGAAAATAATTAAAGCAAATGATGGGTAGCGTTAACAAAGAGCTGAACGATCGTTACAGTTTCGTGGATAATCAGTCACCGCCCATCGTCTACAGGGAACAATGTCGGTTACGGAAAGACTCGCAGGGGAACAGACCCCAGGTGTTCAGCCAGGCTAGCGGGTCTGTTAATTGCTGCGACACATCTTCAGGTTTATGATACGTCAATCGCTATGGGAACCAGCATGTTCCAGGCTTGCGTTTTCACTAAATGTTCAGTAATAACGGACTTCCAGTTTAATAACGGAGATTAGGGCTTTCGTGGTATAGCATCGTGCAATTATCAAAATCGTTGCTTTCAGCAGCAACCATATTTTTCAAATTGTATTTATTTCGATAGGAGTTGATTTCGGAACTTTCCCTTTTCGTTTTCCTCTTCTTCAATTTCGTTAAAAGTTTCAATAACAGAAAGATATTGCAATAATTTCCGAATAATAATAATAATAATAAATATATAATAATAATAATAATAATAGTAATAAATAATAAATAATTTCCAATAATAATCGTTCCGAACATGACTTCATTTTATCATATTTGTTATATCGCGAAGTGGCCAATGACAATAAAGTATGAAAGCAAACTTCGAGAATTTATCCTCGACTGAAAATATCGATTAGAAAATAGCAATTAGAAATGCGTTAACGTAACAGTTAAACTACGAACTTTTATGCAAGTTCACATTTTTGAGGATATACTTAGCGGAATGAGAAAATTCGGTAGAAAATTGTTTGACGTATCAAGTATTATACGAAGCCACTGCACCTTCAATATTTCATGTACTTTTTTATGTTGTGTGCATTTCGCGCAGCTATCCATTTTCAAATTTCCTATAAATACATAAAAATCCGCGGGAAACGCAATAAATATAAAGAAAACCACTGTAACGAGTGTATCGTTCGGTGTTTCGCAACCTGGTCTAGAAATTCAATTCTTCGTTTACTTTTTTATTAAACGACACGCAAGAATTGGCACTGTTCCGCGTAACTCGATGAAAAAAAAAAAAAAAGAAAAAGAGAACGCACCAGCTGTAACGTTCAAACGGTATCGAACGAAAACAGGAAGTCGAAGGAAAAAGCAAATTGCCGCGCAGGTGTAAACTGATCGAGGCTGTGCGTTTCGAATGCAGAACGCGCGGGTGAAGTCGACGTTAAGCGAGTCCCAGGACGGTGTAAACATGTATTCCGTGACACGTACGCCACCGCTCCCACGGGAATCGATGCGAGTACCGTTTCCGCGTGAAGAGACCATCACGATGCCACAAGGCGAATCCCCGTAAAAATGTGGGTGTGAAAATAAAGCAGAGATATCGTTCGTGTAAAGTATCGTTTTTAGATGAACATTAGTATCTTTGATGTGGAAGATTACATACGATACAACGTATCAATTTTTTATTCAAATACTCGTCCATCGTACGAAAAATTTGAAACTAAATTGTAATTGGAATAAAATTGTGCCTTTCTTTAAAAAAAATTTCGATTTCTATATGATTTTATACAATCGAAGGCTCTAGATTAATTTACAATAAATCCATAAATACGATCCATAAAATACCATAAATCGCTCTGTAAATTACGTCTAAACCTCTTACATATTTCGAATTTCGTTTTCTTCTCAACACGCTCAAGCTGCAAAAAAGGAAGAAAAAGAAATATACTCGCTTGATTATCGTCAATGAAACTCCCAAATTTCTATAATTTCTGCTCTTAACTGCGGATACTATAAACAAGTAAATCATCACTTCCTAAATCGTATCAACAAGCACGCACATTTCTATCTAACCTACCCCTTGTTCTTACGTATAATATTTCCAACGTTACAACACCTTCAAAGACAAAAAGAAACGCATAATTTCCACTTGTTCCTGCCAGTGTATCTCTTCATCGAGAACGGATAATTTAAAAAAAAAAAAGAAGAAACTTAAAAAAAAAAAAAGAGAGGTGAGAGCGGGACACGGTTTGTGTTTCCGGTCAGCGTCTGGCACGCTTGAACGACGTCGAGGACGTCGTCGTCGTCGGCGAACACCAAGGGAAATCAAGCGTTCTCCAGTTTTATTTGCATAAAATGATGGGGCTGAGCATGTCACGTTCGAAACGTCGCGTCGGCCTCCCGGTTCGTGGCTCGCAGCTCGCGCTGATTTTCCTCTCGAATTTCATTACGCCGCGGCCCCATGGCGCCTACGACTCCGCGGGAACAACTCGCGTCTCCGATCATTAAGTCACCAAGTAGATGCAAATTAAAGAACAGGAGAATTTTCCCGCGGAATTTCCCAGCCGCGAGCAGATTTTCGAACCAACGCGGCCTGATCCGATTTTCCGTTCATTTCCAACATCCGTGTGTGACCGACGTTTGTTTTCCGCGTAAGGGTGGCGCACCGTTGTTCTTCTACGTTCGATTCTTCTTGGCCGCACGAGACTGATTTCGAGAGGTTGATTGCACAGCTATTTGTTTTCCTGCTTGTTATTCTGATTTTGTATAGAATGTTTGGGATGTGTGTGGAGGTACCGGCATGGAAATTTTTAAGGTAATAGGAAATAGAATGAAAAGTAAAGTTAATGAAGACCAATAATATATAATCGAGGAGTCGATGTCTCTTATCGAAGTTTCAGAGGCGTTTGAGAATTTAAAGTACCTTTTCTATCGTCGGCTGTCTTCTGTGGCATCGTAGAGGAAAGAAATAAGCTTCCTTCCGTAACGTAAGTGTGACAAAGAACGGTAGAAGATAGGTTCAAAGTGTCGGAATAATTTTCTTTCGTTTCGAAGATACCGCGAGACAAAAATCTATCAATTAAATTACAGTCAAAATGGATAAGAGTTTAGTGTAGAAATACGTAGGTTCGACTAATTCTTTAGAGTGTTTAATATTCGGATTTTGCCTGGGTTTAAAAGTATTTGACAATTGATCGCATCGCGGATGTATTTTCGAAACTTTCCTAAATTTCTCAAGTTCTATCCAACGTTCTAATCTAAATGATAGAAGAAAATCTTACAACTCGCTGTATCTTGTAGGATCTACTTATATCGATAACTCCCTGGACCGAGAACGATTAAGTAGATTCATTAGAAACTTTCTAAAACGATCTTTAGCACTGATAAAGATCGCTTCGCGTTCGCTCGATCTTTACATTACAGTTAAATGATCCATGTGGGTTACGCATAAAATTTCTTGGGTCAATAACCCCGGACATCCAAATACGGAGGAACGAAAGCATAAATGTGGAAGATAAAACCAGCTAAAGAAAAATTATTATAAATCGACCGCTCTATACCAACGAAAAATTCGATCACGAAAGCGTTTGTATTCGTTCAAAAGATACAAGAATATTGGTAACGAATCAACCTTGATGGTCGATCGATCGAATGGAAAATTTACGAGGGCAAACGTCAAAAACAGAGAAAAATAGAGCTAGTGGAAGCAGAAACACGTGCACGGCCATTAAACGACACGGTGCATCGCGACGCTGCGCTGGCGCGAAATTCTTACGATCGTCCCCGGTACTAAACGCTGACAGAGGTCCTCGAAAAGCTCTATTTGCCTCTTCCACTCCTGTCCATCCTCTCTGTTTCCTGTCCGAACGATCCCCTCCCACGTTGGCAATCGTGATACGGTGTTTCGTCGCGTTACGTGCTGTCTTCTCTCGTTTTTCTCCTTACAACGAATCAGTTTCTGCCGACGAGGCGGCAATAAAACGTAACGACGTTAATTCCGTGTCTCGCCACCGACCCAGCTTCTATGTACGATATTTCGAACTGCAAGAAGGTTTCGTACGAGAGGTTTGCAAAGAAATAGGTAACATTGCTGGGAGAGTACTGGTTTGCAATTTAGAATCGGTTTGTTTGGTTTGTTTCGATAATACGAGACAAGAGGTTTGGAAAATTTTACGCTGTACACTTGTTGGCGCTTGGTCAAAATATTGATCGAAATATTTTTCTCTTTATACGTGAGAAATATCTTTTATAGAGTTAGATGTTCCTTAAAATATTTCACAGTTATCTCG